CCCGTTTGTTTTTTTACTTCAAAATAAGATATGTGCAGTGTGCATAGGAATTTGTTCATCTTTTTTTTAAAACTATAGTCCAGCCCTCCAATGGGTCTGAGGGACAGTGAACTGGCCCCCTGTTTAAAAAGTTTGAGGACCCCTGCCCTAGAGAATTCTGACTCCCAGTGATCTTACATAGGGTTTCTGAGTCTTAAGTATGACGTGTTAAACATCTTGAGAGTTATTTTAGGTGCAACGTAAAAATTTTTACGCGGAGGCTTACACTGGAGTCTGAGCCCAGATATGATGCAGTTCTTTATTTAGCATTGTCCTTATAGGATGATTATGCTTATAATTGAATAGGAAGATAATCGTACCCATTTGTTTCAGACTTACACAGCTATCCTGGATACTGTTTATTTCAAAGAGACAGTGAAAGGATTGGAAGAATCCTCAGAGCTTATCCTCTGTGTCTGTCCACAGGTGTCCGGGGAAGCCAACGAAACCCAGATTGCGGAAGCATTGAAGCGATACAGTGAGCGAGCTTTCTTTGTCCGAGAAGCTCTCTTCCATCTTTTCAGCCTGACTCATGTGATGGAAAAAACAAAGCCAGAAATTTTAAAGGTAAGACTTGGACAAAAGATGTTTCTTAAATACTCTCCCTGAGTATGTGATGACTTTGTGATGAAGATTTTGTAAAATTGTTTATTTATAATTTAATTTATAAAAGTGTTTTTATTTATACTAGGCTTATACAAATATAATTGCACCATAAGTGAAGAAGAGCAAAGTATTTACATGAGTGATAATGGAGTGTTATACTGATCTCATTACGCTATATATAAATGCCTTTCAATGCATAGTTAATTACCTAAAATCAACGACTAGTCTGATATATGACTGGAACCAGGACACTGCATTTTATATTGACCCTGTAGTGCTTCCCATATTACCTTTTGATAAATACAGTATTGGAATTCCATAAAGCCTTTTCCATGCTGCTTATGAATTTCCTGTGCTTATGTAACTGATCCATGTTATAACCCAACTAAGAATTTTTAAAAAGATAGCTTTTGAAGGACAAAAAAGAGGTCTTAATTTTGTTGATTACTTAGAGCAATATTTGTCAAAATGTGGTCTTTTCACACCAAAAGCATGTAATTGTACCTGTTTTTAAAAAGCATTATTTGTGCACCCCACCGCAAGAACTTTAGATTTAATAGGGCCCTGAATGCGATGCAGGTATCTGCATTTTAATAAGTCCCAAGATAATTATTAGGCACATTCAATTTTGAAAACCACCATGTATGGAGCTATATTATATTTAATACCTCATTTAGTGGTGACAACAATCCTAAAAGGTTGGTTTTTATCTCCTATCTTATAGATTGTATAACAGAGGATCTGTGCAATTAATTAACAATAAGCCAGTGGTAGGGACACCATTAACTTAACCTCCTAGGCATCTTAATTTTGAGAATGGGTGCTTCAATAGGAACCAGTATAATTCCAGCCCGTAGACGTTATTCCCTACACCTCTAACTCTCCATCCGCACTAGCAGGTGTTAGTACTTGATGGGTCAATGCATTGTCCCTTCTTTTGGCTTTGTTTTGTCTGCTGTGAACCTAAGCAATTAAAGACTAGACCTCTTTTCTTTTTTGGGACTTCTGATCTGAAACATTTACTAATTCATCCAACAAATACTTGATGAGAACCAACTATTTGGCAGGCATCGTACTGGTACCTGTATTAGATCAGGGAATAAACACTCAAAGTGGCCTGTTCTCAAGAAGCTTACATCTGTGTTAAGATATAAGTAAATAAGTGAAACAACAACATATAAAGTAGAAGTTATTGCTATGTAAATTGAATTATTAAAGCAATAAAATGTTAAAGTAAGAGGCATCGGGAATGTGAAGATGGGGAGGAGATGACAGTGTTAAATAGATGATATTTCTGAGTGTATGAAATATGAACAAAGACTAGAGGGAGATAAGGAAGCCAGTCAAAGTGGCTATCGGGTAGAAGAGTGATTCAAGCAGAGGCAATAAGTAGAGTAGTGCTTCCAAAAAAACTTTCTGTTACGGGGGAAGTTTTCTATATCAACTGCCCAGTGCAATAGCCACAAGTCACACAAAGTTATTGAACACTTGAAATCTAGCTGATGTGGCTGTGGAACTAAATGTTTAGTGTTTTTTTCATTTTAACTTAGATAGGAACATAAGTAGCCACATATGGCTAATGGATGCTGTATTGGACAGTGGAGATCGAGCCAAGGTTGAAGACAGGAGCATGAGGCAGGAGAGAAAGCCTTTAATGATAATCCTGCAGTGACAGGAGCAGGGGGATAATAGATAAAGCCAAGCAGTAATAGAAATCCAGGTTAAATAGGGCCTTATAAGCCATTGGAAGGTATTTAGCAGAGACTTAACATGATCTATTTTAAATAGCTCTCCTTCACTTTAAGAATGTATTATAGGAGCGTAACAGTAGAAGAAGAGAGGCCTGTTTACAAAGCGGGTGAGAGCTGATGTTCCCTCTGATCAAAGTAGTAGTAGTAGAAATGCTGAGAAGTGATCACTTACTGTATATATTTTGAACGAAGAGCTAATAGTAGTCTGAAGGATTGGGGGTAAGAATGTTGGGGTAAGAGAGTAATTAAGGAATGTCCTAAGGTTTTTAGCTTGAGTACAGGAAGAGGAGCACTTTTCATTATCTGAGATAAGCAAGGCAAAGGAAGAAAACTGGGGAAAGCTGTGGAAGAGTAGAATTCAGTTTGAGATAAGTTTGAGATAGCCATGAGAAATGTCAAGTATGCCAATAGATAAATGATTCAAACTTTCAAGACAGAAGTTTGGGTTAAAAATTTGCATTTAAAAGTCATCCTAGCCTGGTGGAGCTCAATCAAGGGCAATGTAGCAGTGAGGAGTCACTAAACCAGAATGAAGGTCAAACATCATGGTGGGACAAGAGGGAAGTAAAAAGGAAATAGAGGAAAGAACCAGGAGGCAAAGGACATTTATAGAGGCCTAAATACAGGCATGTACATATGTAAATATATATATATAAATAAAATGAGAGGGGAATAGAACTATGTACTCATATCTATATGTTAAGAATTAAGGCTGCAGCCAACACGATCGCTGAAGACAAATGTGTGCATAAGCAAATGTAGTGAAGAAAGCTGACAGTGCTCAGCTATCAAAAGATATAGCGTCTGGGGTCTCAAAGGCTTGCAGGTAAACAAACAGCCTTCTAGCTCAGAAGCAACAAAGCCCACTTGGAAGAAGCACACCAGCCTATGCAACCACAAGGTGTCGAAGGGATCAGGTATAAGGCATCATCAGAACAAAAAATATGAATGATGGGGGGAGTGCGGAGTGGAGAACCAAAGCCCATTAGTAGGCCACTGGAGATCCCCTTGCAGAGGGGTCTCGGGGAGGAGATGAGCCAGTCAGGGTGCGATGTAACAATGATGAGAAATACAACTTTCCTCTAGTTCCTAAATGTTTCCTCCTCGCTCCCACTATCATGACTCGAATTCGACCCTGCAAGTCTGGCTAGACCAGAGGATGTACACTGGTACAGATAGGAACTGGAAACACAGGAAATCCAGGGTGGATGAGCCCTACAGGACCAGTGGTGTGAGTGGCGAAACAGGGAGGGTAGAGGGAGAGTGGGTAGGAAAGAGGGAACCGATTACAAGGAACTATATGTGACCTCCTCCCTGGGGGACAGACAACAGAAAAGTGGGTGAAGGGAGACGTCGGACAGGGCAAGATATGACAAAATACCAATTTATAAACTATCAAGGGCTCATGAGGGAGGGGAGCGGGGAGGGAGGGGAAAAATGAGGACCTAATGCTGGGGGTTTAAGTGGAGAGGAAATGTTTTGAGAATGATGAGGGCAATGAATGTACAAATGTGCTTTACACAATTGATGTGTGTATGGATTGTGATAAGAGTTGTATGAGCCCCTAATAAAATGATTTTAAAAAGAGAGAGAGATGGCGTCTGGGGTCTTAAAGGCTTGAAGATAAACAAGCAGCCATCTATCTAGCTGAGAAGCAACGAAGCCCACATGGAATCAGGCATCTAAGACCCAGAACAAAACCATACCCAAAGTGAATTGTGGGGGCTTGGGGATGGAGTGGAGATCCAATGCCCATCTGTAAATAATTGGACATCCCTTCACAGAGGGGTCACAGAGAAGAGATGAGCCAGTATAGCACTGATGCAGTGTAGCACTGATGAAACACACAACTTTCCTCTAGCTCTTTGGTGCTTCCTCCCTCTCACTATCTCAGTTCTACCCTACAAATCAGATTAGATCAGAGCATGCACACTGCTACAGATAAGCGATAACACAGGGAATCCAGAATAGATAAAACCCTCAAGGCCAACAAGGAAAGTAGAGATACCAGAAGAATTAGGGGGGCTGGGGGGAGAAAGGGGGAATAGATCACAAGGATCAACCTAGAACTCCCTCCCAGGGTGACAAATAACAGGAAAGAGGGTGAGGGGCAATGGAGGACGATGTAAGATAAGGAAAAATAATCTATAATTTATCAAGGGTTCTGGAGGGAGGGAGGGGGGAGGAGGGTGGGGGAAGACATGGGGAGCTGATATCAGGGGCTCAAGTGGGAAGAAAATGCTTTCAAAATGATGATGGCGGCATATGCGCAAATGTGCTTGACACACTGGAGGAATGAATGGAATGTGACAAGAGATGTAAGAGCCCCCAATAAAAGTATTAAAAAAAAGTCATCCTATGCAGATGGAATTTGTATAGCACTGGAGGGAGTATAGATACTAAAGAGAGAAGGCTCACCAACTAAACATTGAAATACTTCAACCTTAGAGGACGAGGAGGAGATAGCAAAGGAGACTGAGGAAGAGTCTCTGGTAGATGGAATGCCAAATAACTAAGTGCTGCTGCTGCTGCTGCTGCTGCTGCTGTCAGGAGCCGTGGAGTCCATTTTGTCACCACAACACTGTAAGACAGAGTGGAGCTGTCCCATAGCCTTTCCCAGGCTGTAACGTTTATGAGAGCACATCACCAGGTCTTTTCTCCCTGGATCCATTGGTGCATCCCAACCGCCATATAGTGAGAGCCAAATGAAGACTGTTTATCAAGGAAGAGGGAATGGGGAAAGGAGGAAGAAAAACACAAAAGTATAGGTAGGGTGTTTAAGAATTTTACTGCTGGGGGGAGTGGGGAGGGAGGGGGAAAAATGAGGAGCTGATGCCAGGGGCTGAAGTGGAGAGCAAATGTTTTGAGAATGATGAGGCAGCGAATGTACAAATGTGCTTTACACATGGATGGATGGATGGATGGATGGATGGATGGATGGATGGATGGATGGATTGTGATAAGAGTTATATGAGCCCCCAATAAAATGACTTAAAAAATTTTTTTACTGCCATGGGGGACTGGGGGAAAAAAAGGTAATTCTCAAAAAAAGTGAACTCAAAAGAGATTTGTTTCTTTTACCGTGGAGGAAGTAGTAGCTTGTTGGTTTGCTGGGTAAGAATGATATAATAGAGTATAGAGATTTGATGAAGAGTAGGCGTGGAGAACCATCTATGAAATGTCCTTGTGTAGACAAGAAGGGAGGGATCTGGGTAATCAGAAGAATTAGCTTTGGTCAAGTCCCCCGAAAGTCCATTTGTAGAAGGAGGGAGACAAGTAATCTGGTAGGCGGATAGATGTGAAGGAGGTAGATGGAGTTCTTTTCTAATTGCTCAAGCTCTCTCGGTGCAGTTGTAAGCACAGTCTTCACCTGAGAGTGAGGAATGAGAAGGGTTTGTTGGGAGATGGAGGAGAGAGGGGAAGGTGAGAAATAATTGTCTAGAGGGGAGGGGATCAATTTTACTGCACTCTAACCTCAGCAGTATTCTCAAGGTAGGATGAGAATACCTGCTATGTAACAAGTACTGTCTTTGTCTTAGGAATGCAAAGGTGAATTATCGGTACAGAACTCATTCCATAGCCTTACAGAAATTTCTGGACATGAATAACTTGATACTTGTTTTTACCAGATGGGCAAGAACTACATAAGTATTTGTGAGTAACTGCTATGTCCTAGGCTTTTTGCACTTGAGGATGAGCAAGGTACTTAAAATATCTTTGAAATTTCTATATCATAGACCCAACAAGGTAATGTTGGTATGCGAAGAGGGCTTATATTTATAAAATGGATTAAGAAGACTTTTTTTTTTTTTAACTCCCCTAGCTTGTGGTTACCGGGATGAGAAACCACCCTATGAATTTGCCAGTGCAGCTGGCTGCAAGCGCCTGTGTGTTTAACTTAACCAAGCAGGATCTTGCTACAGGAATGCCCGTACGGCTCCTGGCCGATGTGACCCATTTGCTGCTCAAAGCCATGGAACATTTTCCTAATCATCAGCAGGTAAGCATAAGGGAATCCCCATTCAAATAGACCTTTTAGTGTCTCACCCTATCTCTGCCCCGCCTCAAGACTTACATTCAATTCCAATGTTGTAAACAAAGGATGGAAGTTCAAATACCTTTGGAAGCTGTAACATATAAATCTGTGGTATGACTGGGTGTATGATAACAGAGAAATGGGAAACTAAAGAGTGCATTCCCTGTATAAAACTGTTTAAATCCAAATGTTGGGCAAAATGAGCAAAGCATACAAAGAAAGCTTCTCTTTAACCTGTATCTCAGTAAACAGGAAAAGAGCATTCACTGTGAACCAGACTTGGTCAAGTGCTAGGATATAGAGATGAGTGAGATTTTTCATTTCTAGGAAGTACATAATTTATCTTCTTTTCATAATGACATCTAAAAAGGCTAATTGAATCATTTTTAAGTCATTTAAAATTTGGTAGTGAGACTATAGATAAGAGCCCAAAACACAGGCTCTTATCCAGGATAGATAAACCCCTCAGGGCCAACAATGTGATAGGAGGTACAAGGAGTTAGGGGAAGGTAGGGGGAAAAGGGGGAAATCGATCAGAAGGATCATGATATAACCCCCTCCCAGGGGGACAAAAAACAGAAAAGTGAGTGAATGGCAACAGAGGACTATGTAAGATATGAAAATAATAATCTAACTTATCAAGGGTTCATGAGGGGAGGGCAGGTGGGGGAGGGAAGAGGGGGAAATGAGGAGCTGATATCAAGGGCTCAAGTAGAAAGAAAATGCTTTAAAAATGATGATGGCTCTCGGGGAGGAGATGAGCCAGTCAGGGTGCGATGTAACAATGATGAGAAATACAACTTTCCTCTAGTTCCTAAATGTTTCCTCCCCGCTCCCACTACCATGACTCGAATTCTATCTTGCAAGACTGGCTAGACCAGAGGAGGTACACTGGTACAGATAGGAACTGAAAATACAGGGAATCCAGGACGGATGAGCCCTATAGGACCAGTGGTGTGAGTGGCAAAACAGGGAGGGTAAAGGGAGAATGGATAGGAAAGAGGGAACCGATTACATGGAACTGTGTGTGACCTCCTCCCTGGGGGACAGACAACCGAAAAGTGGATGAAGGGAGACGTCGGACAGGGTATGATATGACAAAATACCCATTTATAAACTATCAAGGGCTCATGCGGGAGGGGGGAGCGGGGAGGGAGGGGAAAAATGAGGACCTAATGTCCGGGGTTTAAATGGAGAGAAAATGTTTTGAGAAATGATGTACAAATGCGCTTTACACAATTGATGTGTGTATGGATTGGGATAACAGTTGTATGAGCCCCTAATAAAATGTTAAAAAAAAGAAATCATAAGTACCACCCATATGAGTCAGCCATAAGGAAAAATGTATGTTAAAAATATTGTCATTTGACTAAATTTATCTTTTGAAAATTTCTTTACTGATAATCACTTTTATAACAGATTAATGTTCTGGTATAGTTATTCTGGTGATATTGAAAAAGCCCCTAAGAAGGCATTGTATAATAGTTCTTCCTAAATATACAGTAATATATCATAATTTATGCTGAAAAAAAAATGATGGCAGCATATGTGCACATGTACTTGACACAATGGATGAATGCATAGATTATGATAAGAGATGTAAGAGCCCCCAATAAAAATATTTAATAAAAAAAATTTAGTAGTGAGTTGAAAAGTTATTGAAAATACTCAGAAGTCCACAAAACCAAGTGAAACTGAGATCCATTGTGGTGAATGAACCATTTAAGGCCCCCACTTCTGACAGGTGCTATGCTAGTTGTACTTTAGGCTTTTTGTTTTTTAACCCCAGTTGCATGAGGAAGCCATGTTGTCAGAAAACAAAACTCAACATCCACTCAATGTGTAAAGCCTAACAGAAGACTCTTTACATAAAGCTGTGAACTCTCCCCAGAAAGGTACACAGGATATTATAAAATGAATCTGACAAATTAGAAAAGCAAGAAGAAGTAAGGAAATACTGAAAATAAGAAAATAGTCTAGATTAATTAAATTGAAAACAAATGTACAGTACCACTGAATTAGAGATCAACTTTGCCAGAAATTGATTATTTGAACTTTTAATAATATTGTGGAATCTGATACAATTGAAAATTGAGTGAGAATGCATAAAAACAAAATTAGGAAATGGGGCAGAGAGGTAGGGAGAATGACTAAAAATTTCTGAAATTGTGATAATGGTTTCACAACTCTTTGGATATACTAATATAGGTTAAGCATTGCTACTAAAGTTACAGATCATATACACATGCATTTATTAAAAACAAAACCTGTTCAAACATGTCCCTACAATCAGTGAATGGCTGCAGACAAGTTCTGTCAATAATATTCTTGTCTTAGTCTCATTTCAAACTAACTGCTATGGAGTCGACGTTGACTCATAGTGAGTGATCCTGTAGGATAGGTGCCGAAAAAAGGGTGTAATTGGAATAATCCGCTAAATGCAAGGCAGAGAGGTCAGCTTAGAAGGTGATAACAGCTGTTTTTTTGGGTTCCCACAGGGAAAGTCTTGATAAATTTTTGTAGAGGTCACAGGACAGTCACAAAGACCTATTGTGAAGGAATTTTAAAATTTTGAAAACTACATTGATGAGAAAAAGGCTGGAAAATTGCACCAAGATTTTCCCATAACCATGATGGACCTACTCATTCATGAGGAGCAAGGGCTGTCTTGTGAGGATTTTGTGGGGAGACACCATGCTCCATCAAGCCTAGAACCAAGGGTGCTGCTGCCTCGAGTTTCTTTTTGTTTCCAGAACTCAGAAGGCAGTTTGAATCCCTTGAGGTTGCCCAAACTGCCATTTGGATTATGGTATAAATCAAAGTGCGTCGAATTCTTCAGGGAAGGAGTAAAGAGAGGGAAGCACCACATTCAGAAGTGTATAAACCAAGAATTTGTTGAGAAACATTAGGCTCACATTTACTTTATTTTTTTTTCAATTAAAGCTTTCTATGGTTCAGTATAAATAATTTTGAAATACCCTTAGTAAAAAAGGCATTGAATTGTATACTTAAGTAGGTGAATTCTATGGAGTGTAAATTATATCTCAATAAAGCTATTTTTCTTTAAAATAATGTCCACAACATTTACAATGCTCACAAACTAGAAACAACCAAATGTACATCAGCCTGGTTTTAGTCCTACAGTGGAATATTTCAAATAATACATTTTAATGAAATTAGTGATTTGAAACAGTTACAAGTATAGGCTAAAACCTGGATCATGCTCAATAGCAAGTTAAATATAAAAAACATCTCAGAGTCCATTCAGCGTGATTCCATTTACTTTAAGTTCAGAAACTACATGATACATTATTTAAATAAACACAAGCTCACACCTGTCAAGTTAATTCTGATTCATAGCAACCCAACACGGCAGGTTAGAACTGCTCCTGTGAGTTTCTAAGACCATAACGCCTTATGGGAGTAGAAAGCCTCACCTTTCTCCCAAGGGGCAGCTGGTGGTTTCAAACTGCTGACGTTTGCTTAGCAGTCCAATGTGTAACCACTACGCAACCAGAGCCCCTACATTGTCTAAAAATGTATTAAAGATGTGTTAAAACAATTTTATTGGTTGCAGGGAGAAGACAAGCCAGTCAGGGTGCAGTGTAGCAACAATGAAACATACAACTTTCCTCTAGTTCCTAAATGCTTCCTCCCCTCCCCCGCTACCATGATCCCAGTTCTGCCTTACAACTCTGGCTAGACCAGGGGTTGTACCCTGGTACAGATAGGAACTGGGAGCACAGGCCAGTGGGTTGGAAGTCTCTGGATCCAGTGGTGTTGTAAGCATCTCAGCGCTGGCAGGGGTCTCTACTCAAGCTCTCCCTCAACGAAGAATACTTTGTTTTATTAACCTGGCGTCCTGTCATACTCACCTTCCTGACAGAATCATTGACGTCTAAACGGGTGCATAAGCAAGTATGGTGAAGAAGGCTGATGGTGCCCAGCTATTAAAAGATATAGCGTCTGGGGTCTTAAAGGCTTGAAGTTAAACAAGTGGCCATCTAGCAGGGCTGCAACAAAGCCCACATGGAAGAAGCACACCAGCCTGTGTGATCACAAGGTGTTAACAGGTTCAAGTATCAAGCATCAGAAGACCCAAAACAAACAATCATCTTGATGCAAATGAGGGGGAGGGCGGAGTGGAGACCTAAAGCCCATCTGTAGACAGTAAGACATCCTCTCACAGAAGGGTCACAAGGAAGGGACGAGCCAGCCAGGGTGTGGTATAGCACAGATGAAACACACAACATTTTAGTTCTTTAATGCTTCTCCCTCACCACTATCATGACCTGGTTCTACCTTACAAATCTGGCTAGACTGGAGCATGTACACTGGTACAAATAAGAGCTCTTGATACACAGAATCTAGGACAGATAAACCCCTCAGGAACAATAATGGGAGTAGTGATGCCATGAGGGTAGGGAGAAGGTGGAAGGAGAATTATCAATGCATAACCCCTCCTCCATGGGGACAAACAACAGAAATATGGGTGAAGGGAGATAGCATACAATGTAAGATATGAAAATAATAATTTATAGATTATCAAGGGGTTATGAGGGTGTTAGGGTGGGGAAGGGAGGACAAAAAGAGGAGCTGATACCAAGGGCTCAAGTAGAAAGAAAATGTCTTGAAAATGATGATGCCAACCTATGTACAAATGTGCTTGATACTATTGATGTATGGATTGTTAAAAGAGCCGTTAAAAGTCCCCAATAAAATGATTTATAAAAGAAAAAGTGCCCCCCTGACCATTAAAAACTTTTGTACTATAGCTCATAATCCAGAACAAAGTGTAGGTATCTACTTTTTCAGTCTTTTGGGGGTCATCCCAGTGCCCCCCAGGGGACAATATCACCAACTTTAGGAACCACTTTGAGAGAGAAAACAGTAGCAAATAAAGAGGGGCAAATACAGTATGTTAATATGATACTGCTTTTCTTCAACTAGGTGGTAAAAGGTGT